GCACCCCGCACCAACGCCCCCGCCAACACTCAACCCCGCCCCCGCCGGCTGTTGGTCCCGCCCTCGGCCCCACACCAGCAGCTACCCCGGTCCCACGAGTGGTGGGTGTGGCCCCGTGGGGGGGTCCGGGGTTTCGGCATAAAACCCCATTTTTAGGGTTTAGCCCTTGTGGTGCGCGCTCTCGTTGCGCACCCCCCACTATTTATTTATTTTTTTGATTTTTTTTTTTTTTTTTTTTTTTTTTTGGGGGGGGGTCTTGAACCGGGGTTGGGGGTGCCCACCCCCGGACCCCCGCCGGGGCCCCGGGGCCGGGGCTCGACAACCCTAGGCGTGCCTACATTGCTTAGGCTGCAGCCAAAAATGAATTCGTTAGAAACAGGACACAGTATAATGTCCTATTTTAACGAATAACATGTTACACACACACACACACACACCGAATGAATAAAAAACGAATGACAAACACCTTTGATTCGTCATCATGTACCACCTGTCCAACCGACAAGAAAACGAAAAGATGGAGCGAACACACACACACACACACACACACACACACACACACACACACACACACACACACACACACACACACACACCAAATGACTAAAAAACGAGTGACAAACACCTTCGATTCATCATCATATACCACCTGTCCAACCAACAAGTAAACGAAAAATGACGTGAACAGTGAACACACACACACACACACACACACATACAGACGTGCGCGCGTCCACGGGCGATGACGCCAGAAAGACGGCCATGGTGATGGTTAGAAGGTCGACACTCGAGGAGGAGGAGGAGGAGAGGGAAGGGTGACAAGGAGAAAGTTGGAGGAGGGAGAACGAGGGAAGAGGAGGGAAGAGGAGGGAAGAGGAGTAGGGAGGACAAGGACTATGATGATAGATGAGGATAGAGGATGGAGGCTGGAGGAGAAGAGAGGAAAGCGATGAGCATGGATGGAGGAGGAGGGAGGAGGGCGATGAGCATGGGTGGAGGAGGAGGGAGCAGCGATCCATGGCGCGGCGAACTTGAAGACTGACTGCTGCCCCATTTTTCCATGGCGGCGCATGAAATACCCACCATTTTCGAGTTCGAATTCAGGGGCATCACAGAAAAGATGTGTGCCCCTCGGGAGGGCATTTCAAGGACGGACCTTCGAAACGCCACCAGTGGTCCAGTAAGGGCATATGGGAAAGTTATGCCCCATGCTGACAAGGGCCTGTGGAAAATTTCAGAGGCCCGAGGGGCATAACAGGGTAAGTCGGCCTTCACAGGGGCACGCGGCAAATAAACGCAAACTTCAGGGGCATTTCGAAAATTTTCCGTTTTTTTTTTTGGAAGAATCCGGAAGCTTTTATTATCAATGGAAAATCAAGAGGTCGGGAATCCTCACAAACAACCCGGAAAGGCTGGGGCGCTACCCATTATAGGCATAGCTGGAAACCGGGTCCAGCGTCCCAACTATTACAACAAAATAGAATCCTTCCAAAAATAACCTTGAAGCTCGTTAAAAAGTAAAATTGAGTACCACCTCCTGTGAGAATATAAACCTTCAAGAAGTCTTCAACTGTGCTGGAAGCCGGGTCCAGCGTCCCCTTGGGGAGGGGAGTGCTCCCCTACGAGATATTACGGACGAAAACTCTTGTGTGTCGAGAGTCTAACACGGCTCCTAAGTAACGGCATAAAACCTCCTGAGTAACGACAAAAAAACGGTTGCCTATAGCGGCATATGACGCCCAACCTCACGCCCGGCGCGACTTCCTGATCGGAGTGGGATGTGGGCCTGGAAATGCGAAAAGGGGTGTGCCAAGGATTTTTGGGAAAGGKGGGGGGGGGGGGATGTGCAGTCCCAGGTCAGAACTGAGATCTCCTGTAGCGAGGGTTCAAGGGCATAGGTGCAATAGGGCTACGGGGCGGGTGGCTTCCAGTCCGATGGCGGGGGACATCGTGCAATCATAAGGCCGATGGCATGCGTGGTGCATCAAGGCCGCCCGATCCGTTTGTATTGGTGGCGGCGGTTCGGGGAGAGGCCCGCCCGGGATGGTTGTAATCCCGACGAGTCAGACCTTTGGGTGCAGACACATGGCGTCTGTCGTCTTGCGTTTTGGTTAGGCCCCCTAGTTTCAGGGGCTGGTCGGTTGCCGCGTCTCGTTTTGGTTAGGCCCCCTAGTTTCAGGGCCAATACGGGGCGATGGAATTCCACGGTACCACCGTGAGTTGGTGATACGGGAGGAGGAGACAAAAGGGAGGGAAGTTCGTAGTGATAACAACGACACCGGGGGATATGAAATATTGTGTGTTATCCGTAGTGGGAAAATCGGGGCACCTCGGGTCACTGGTTACGGCGCAGTGAAACTCCCTGGGCACAATCAGTTCCGGGTATCTTTGCCTACTACATTTTCTTACCCAAGGGTCGAAGTATTCCGAGTCCCAGGAGCTCGGCATCTTGTCATCGCGGGATAGCGGAATTCTTCCGCACGCATCTAACCGGCGAGGGGATTTTCCTGATGTGATACCGGAAGTTCCTATCCGTTTCGGTACGTGGGGGAAGGAGAAGAAAAATTCCCGCCTACCCGATACCGGAGGTGTCCAATGGTCACGTATCGGCGCGTGTGGATGCGTGTAGGTTGCGCAGATCCGATCGCGCTTACACGTATCCCCGCACGGTGTTCGCTCGTTTCTAAAAAAAAATGAGAGCCTAATTCCTTATGCAAAATCGCCATGTGTCATAAACAACTACCCAATCATCTAATCACTCAGTGTTTCCGCAAGCGATCATCCCCGAGCATGCAAGTCGTTGACACACATCACTCACCGCAGCAACATCGGAGCCTATATCGTGACGTCAGCAGATCAAGCATCAAGCAATGATGATGGCTAGACAAAAAACGATAAACATGAAAAGGGAGCAGTTCTAACTTATAGGCACATTCCATCATTCGGCAAATCCCTGATCTTCAGCCATTCCACACTCATGCAAGTGACGCGTACATCAAATCTGCAACTCCCCCTTGTTGTTATACATCACAAAGAAAAAACGAGAAGGAAAGCGACAAGCATATCATCCATTCGAATCTCTTCATTCGACGAGACATAGACGAGATATAGATCAACCAAAAACAGATGCAGAGAAAGTTGAGACAAAGATTCCGGAAGCAAAAATGGGCGAATCGCCTGAAGCCGAGATCAAAACTTATATACAAAGATGAAAAAGGAACGACAAAGAAAGTGCAAATCTGCATCCCTCCACCTTGACTCTCTTTTCCTCTCTCTCTCTCTCTCTCCGATGCGGACAGTCCGTCGTCACGGACCAACCCACGAAGTCGTCACCCCGCTTAGTCCTCCCGCACCCGTCAGGTTCGCCCACGCCCACAGTCCGCCGTGGCCCGCGTCAACCCCGCGCGTTGGGCACCAGCTCATCGGGTCGCCCGACTCCCACTTCAACTCACCTCTTACTTCGCTCGCGAGCCGACCCTCACTCATCGCGCTCCCCAAGCTTCCAGCAACTGGTTAAGAGAGCTATCTAATCGCGCAGCCGGAATTTATAGTGTGCATGCATACGCGAAGAACACGGAATTGCACGAACTTGGAGGGGACATTAGCAGAGGGAGCGCCTACGTTTTGCATGGCCAGACCGCGGCTTGGGGGACGTAGCCACTCTCCACTCAATCGATCCGAGGATGCAGGCCGCGGCCTAACTAGGCACAACAAAAGGGAAAGAGAGAGCGGGAAAGACGAAGCTCAAGAAGGAAGATACAGTTACAATCGCGCCCGCCCAAAAATTACAGTTACTTGCAGGATTAGAGGCGCCGACTAATCAGAGCTCCGTTGCAGCCGCAAAAAGAAGTGAGCAAGAAAGACAACGCGCGGCAAAAGAAATCCTAAATTCCTAAACTCCTGGCTAATGGAAAAAGAAAAACGCAAATTCCGGAAAAGAAAGTCCCAAATTCCGAGAGCCACCAAGGCTCGACAAGATTAAAAAAAAATAATAAAAAAAATCGAAAAGAATGAAGCAAAATTCCCCCGCGATCTCCGCGCCCAAAATCCGAGAAAGGAACAGGAAAGAAGCAACGTCAACCATTATTAATCACGCCTTGTCGGCGCAACAGGTACTCAATCGGCCATCTTGGGACTTGCCCGGCCCTGAACCCATCCATCCGAAAAGAAGCGACGCAGAAAGGCGAAAAAACGAGGACACTGATGCAATTTTCCCTCAATCCCGATCTCCCGTAATTGGCCCATCCTTCCCATCTTAGGACCCCTCATTGTCATCGCGCAGAAAATCGCGCGGAACAGAAAGTGGTTCGTCACATATGTGACGCCCAGGGGGTTCCAATCTGAAGCAAGCTCCCGCTTGCTTGAATCATGACACGGGTCGATCTCTCTAATCCATCGCCACGCGGAGCTTTCTATGTTGCTACCAACCGTGCGAAGGAGTGTGGAAGTCATCCAGGGTGGCACACGTGGCTCTATCCTGAAATTCCTTAAAAAGGGCTCTCTTCAGTCCAACGAGGGGATCGTGCGTGCCATCGCTGTGGCACGTGCCAATCAATGGTGCATCAATGTCCTAAGGGAAGGGCGAAGGGGAGGCGATACATGGGGGCATGGCGAGGGGGTGGGTTAGTCGGGAGTGGGGGTAGAAAGCGTTCCATTCCCACGACTGCCTTCAGAAGCCCCTGATATCGAATGATCCGGTGGAAGCGAGGGAATCGATTACCACTATGAGGGAGGGAGGCGAGATAGTCGGGGTAAATTGTGGTGAAAGTTCGAAAAAGTGCCGCGCGGAAGTGATCGTGGTTCTCGCATGCGGGGATAGTTCCCGTGATCATGCAGTAAACCTCAACGATATTGTGGCCTCGGCACGCGGCACTTAAGAGAAAGGCGTGGAGACAGAAGATAGGGGTGGCACACCGGGTAGAGGGGTGGGGATGAACCGTAACAGCAAGACGGGTGGCGTAGAAGAAGCGGAAGGTGTCGATTGGGAAGGGATTGCAGGGGAAGGTGACGCGGGTGGTGATCTGGCGGAGGGTGAGGTAGTCAAGGGGACGGTGGGATAATGACCGGGGACGAAGCCCGATTCCCCGCATCGGTACGTGCGCGAATTGGGGGACGGGCTGAGGTGGAGGGGGAGGGGGATCGGCTTCGCCGTCGCCTTGTTGGTCCCCATCTTCAGGCTTGGGCGGCTCAAGGTCCTTAGCTGGATCATCTGCGCTCAGCAGATCGGCCTCGCTTGCGTACTCCAGCTGCTGCTTGCCGGCAGTGATCTCCTCCCTCTTTCGTACAGCCTCAGGATCCTCCTCTGCACGTTCCGCCTCTTCTCCCAGGGTTTCCCACTCAGACTCTTCTTCCTCTAGCTGATCTTCCTCTTCTTCTTCTTCTTCCTCTTCTTCACCCGGTTCCTCCTCACTGTATTCGCTGTAGCTCCCTTCTTCCGAGGTTTCCTCTTCTTCTTCCTCGTCGCCTCCCTCTCCGTCCTCTTCCTCCTCTAGTGTTATCGCTTCGTCTTCGGAGGCCGTACGAGGCTGAAAGGAGGTGAGGTCGATTATCCCCCGGGGATCCAGGTATAGCTGTTGCGATGGCGGGTTGTTGTTGCCTGCTAACTCCTCGAGGCAAGCCCACCACTGCAGGTAGGGTGTAAGAGTCCGTGAAAAGACGTGTGGGACCGGGCCCTTGTCACACTGCGAAATGATATCGAGGGGGAGATCGTCAACCACCTGCGCGAAAGGAATCGTGAGTTCCTGTACGATCTGCTGTCGATGGCCGGCACGCACCGATCTGAATAGAAATCCGAGAAGGTCTCGTTCCACCTCCGTTTTCCACGCTTGGATGATCAACAGCTCCGCATACTCGATCCAGGTGCGACTCTCTGTGTCCCTTGTCCAAGTCAGCTGCACTCCGACCAGACACACCGACAGATCAACGAAGTGTTCACACCACAGTTCTCACTGTCTTCGATCGAGAAGGGGGACAGTGAGTGGTTCTAGACGAAAGGATAGGCGGGGGCAAATATCAGACTGCTAGAAGGTAGGGAAGAGAGCCGGGAGAGCGAAGGTAAAGAGTTGGGATCCGTTCATTGAGGACGATGGAAAGGGACGAGCTCGGGAAGTACTACTGCCGGCTTGTGCCAAGATGTTCGGAGTCCTCCGAGGTCGATGTCGTCCGTGGGGACCAGGTTATCGCCATGCCGCGTAAGCCACTGACCCCATTTAGTTGCCAGCTGTTGGCCCCACTCTCTTAGCGACGTGCGGATGACCGTGTGTCGCAGAGGGCTGATCGCGCAAATATCGCCGCTGAAGATGACGACGGTAGACACGTGGCTAACTTCTGGTGCTGATAGCCAGTGTCGTACCATTGGTCACCGTTCACAGGGTCTGTGGACGGAGACCGGTCATGGAGTTCACCCCGTTCACAACACGGGAGTTCATGGAGTTCACGGAGAGCGGTTTTTTTTTTTTTTTTGGTTGGGGGGGTATGTTTTTTTTTTATAGGAGGGTGGGGGACATCGAAGGGTAACTCCCTATAATTTTTTCAAATTTGTTTTTTCACGAACATTTTCGTTTGCTATTTTGTAGGTCATTTTGATTTTTTTATATTTTTTCAATGTCGTCTCGCTGTGGGGCTTGAGGCGAATGTACCTGGGGGAGCCAAAAAAAAAAAAAAAAAAAAAAAAAAAAAAAAAAAAAAAAAAAAAAAAAAAAAAAAAAAAAAAAAAAAAAAAAAAAAAAAAACAAAAAAAAAAACACCACTCTTTAGTGGTCGGCCCGTTCACCATGAACGACCGTTCACAAAAAAAAATACCAAATGAACGGCCGGTCACGTTCACGGGTCCGCCACTGCTGATAGCCGTTGAAAAGCCGATGCTTCCCCCAATACGATCGCTTGATGATGACCTGTGAATCGAAACTCCGCCGCCCCGTATACTCCCGTGGTACAGAAGAACTGCGCGAGCCGTAGAAGGTCTGGACTGAATCGCGGGTAATGGACTTGCCTGATCGCCGAGATATCGCCACGTGGCGCCAACATGTGATCACCGAGAGCTTGCTCAGTGAGAACACTCATGGCGATGGCAAAGGGGATGGAGAAGGGGCGAGAGATGCTGGAGGGGAGGAAAGCGATGAGGAGTCGTCGTCTTCCTCCGTAGCGAAGGAGGAAGCAGACACAGCTGGAGATGGGGAGGAGGGGAGAAGACGTAGGTAGGACACGTGGCGGATGATCGGACGAGACGATCGACTGTCGGAGACCTCGGGCACAAGCCGCGCCGTGTTCACTCCATTCGGGCCGAGCTCGACTACGGGAAATCGCCAGAAGCATCGTGGCGCTAGCCTACCCTAACGCGCACATTTCCTTAACTGCACGATGTCCCCTAATTTGTACTGGGGCCGCCGGCCCGCATTCCCATTTCGAGCCTCATAGCTACGGACCTGTCGGCCCTGGGCCAACTCGGTCGTTCGCTGGCGTTTTCGGGCCAACCGGGGCAGGGACCGTTCCATCAGTTCCATGTGTCGCTTGGCCTTGTCCTGAACCGTGGCCCCTGTGGGTCGTCGGCTCAATGAGGACTCGTCGGGGAGGCTCGGTATTGAAACGCAATCCACGCTATTGGTCCTTAACTGGAAGGGGCTAAGGCCCGTCGATTCATGGGGCGTTCCGCGATGGACCGCCAGAATGTGATTGACGATGTCGGGTCACGGCCTCGGATCCCGTGCCGGGATGTTTCGTCGTAATGCTGTCTTTATCACGCGATTGTTGTTCTCTAACAGTCCGTTAGATTGTGACATGTGTGGTGCAGTATTCTGAATAGTGACACCGTGTATGACCAGATTCCTTAACACTTCCCCTTTGAATTCCGCCCCATTATCCGTCACTATTTCCTCCCTATCCTGGTGCATTCCGAGGAAACGGTTAACTTATCGCGCGATTTCGGCGGCTTGTCGCGTACGACACGGATAGGCCTTGATCCATTTCGAGAAGTGGTCCACGAATACCAACTATTTGGTCCAGGGGGTACCACTATATCGGTAGTATCCAGTGCCGGACCCGTGAACGTGACTGGCACCGGTCACTTGAACGTGACCGGCCATTCATTTGGTGTTTTTTTTGTGAACGACCGTTCACGGTGAGCAGTGGTTTTTTTTTTTTTTTTTTTTTGGGCTCCCCCAGGTACATTCGCCTCAAGCCCCACAGTGTGAGGACATTGAAAAAATTAAAAAAAAATCAAAATGACCTACAAAATAGCAAACGAAAATGCTTATTTTGGCTGGGTGATTTTTTTTTTTCATAAAAAAAAATAAAAAACATTATTCGTGAAAAACAAAAATTGAAAAAATTATAGGGAGTTACCCTTCGATGTCCCCCACCCTCCTATAAAAAAAAAACATACCCCCCCAGCCAAAAAAAAAGAAAAAAAAAAAATACCGCTCTCCGTGAACTCCATGAACTCCCGTGTTCTGAACGGCGTGAACTCCATGACCGGTCTCCGTCCACAGACCCCGTGAACGGTGAACGGAGGTACGGCGCTGGTAGTATTCATACTAACCCTTTGAAATGGCCTTTTGACTACTGTCGGGACCATCGATCGTGGCGGCTGAGTTGGCGCCTTATCAGCCGCGCAGACCTGACAGTTTTAGACAATGAATTTAACATCCGACCCGAATATTGGACCGATACCATTCATTTTTGTCGATGGCCGATTCCGTGATCCGTACAGCAAAATGGGCTGCAGTTTCCTCATGCGCCGTCTTAACCTAGTCATATCTCATGAACGGGTGCGGCACTACCATCCAAATCCCGCTACCATCCGTCTTCCGTTTTTCTAACATTCCTTCATTCCATCGGTAATCCCGAGCCCTTTCATTAGCCCTCCTCCGATCTTCCTTAGTGAAGTCCTGGAGGGGGTTCCCTACTACGGTTGCAATTAAGGCTATTACCGTCCATACTTCGACCCTTGTAAACTTCTGGGTCCTTTCCATCCCTTCCAACGTGGCGTCCAAAAATCGAGCCTCAGTCGGGATCTTATCAGTCCGACACAAGGGACACAACCAAGGCTTATCGCCATTTCTGTACGGGATGCACGAACCATGGGCTCGTGTGACACACTGTCGACAATCTATCCATTATGCACACCCTTCCCCACTAGGACGCATTGAGATCGAGTAGACGCGCGAAATTGCTTTGCAAAAATAACAAAATTTGTCGGGTAGGGAGAGAAGAGATGAAGATGAAAGGGGAGAGAGAGGAGTTGCAGGATTACCTCCGGCACCCATTGCCAATCACCTGCCTCTTGCCACGTGGAAGGACTGCCACTTGTCCGTACTTGGGTCCGTTCGCTGACCCCGCTTCCTTCCACTAAATGATTTCTTCAGCCTTGGGTATCTTAACGGGGCGATGCAGACGTGTCAGCCCGTCCGCGTTGCCGTGCCTCTTTGTCTTTCGATGGACAATGTCGAAGTCGTATTCCTGTAGGCGCACCGCCCACCGTCCAATCATGGCCGTGTAATTAGTGAGCTTCTTGAGGGCCAGTAATGGTTCGTGATCGGTTATAAGGAGGAACTTCTGTCTGTAGAGATACGGATGGAAGTGCTGAATTCCCCAGACCACTGCGTAACACTCGCCTAGTGGGGCCGAATCGTTCTTCCATTCGTTTGGCACCGTGTGTGACGCGTACTCGATGACGTGTTCTCGACCATCGTTTCCCTTCTGCGCTAAAATAGCGGAGATTGCTTCCGGCTGCCAGTCCGTTGTGAGAATAAACTGCTTTGCAGGGTCGCTGGATCAAAACAGGTGTCGTGGCCAGAGCCTCCTTGATAGTGGCGAAGGCGTGTTCACACTCCTCGTCCCAACTGAGGGGCTGGTCCTTTCGTAGAAGATTCGTCAGAGGTCGCGCAATCGAGGCGAAGCCTTTGATAAAACGTCGGTAGTATGACGCTAGTCCCAGGAAAGGTCGAACCTGCGTCACTGACGTGGGGACAGGAGCCTCTTTCACCACCGCGACTTTCCTTGAATCCGGTCGTAATCCTCCACGTGTCACCATGTAACCCAAGAACGAGATTTCTGCGAGAAAAAAACTCGCTCTTCTCGAGCGCGATCTTGAACCCAGCGTCTCTCAGAGCTCCGAGCGTCCACTCGATGTACTGTGCATGCCCGTGAAAGGTCTCTGAGTAGACGAGGATATCGTTCATGTACATGATGACGCAAAAGTTAATCATCCCTTGAGTGAGCCGCGTCTTGTTGACGAAGTTCTGAAATGTCACGTTCATCGCTCGCTGAAACGTGGCAGGCGCGTTGCAAATACCCATCAGACACCGGACCCACTGCCACGTGCCTTCAAACAATACGAAAGCCATTTTGGGTCGATCTTCCTACTTAACCAGAATGTGATGGAAGTCTTGACGAATATCAAACTTAATAAAATAATTAGCACAACCAATCGCATCCGGCAAATCATCAATCCTGGGAAGGGGTTACACATCATTAATCGTGATGTCATTCAACTTGCGATAATCAATGCATATACGAATCGATCCAACTACTACCGGGAACGACCATGGTCCGGTGGCGGGTTCAATCCAACCATTGGCTTCGAATTCTCGAATCCGCTCAAGGGCGGTTTTCCGTTCTACCAGGGAGTATCTGTAGGGCTTACAATGAATCAGGGGATGGTTTTCGGTTTGAATCTCGTGTTGTATGACTAACGACAGTCCAATGTCTGTGTCCGTCAAGCTGATCGCTCCTTTGTATTCTTTTAGAATTTCCGCGATTAGGTGCTGGATCTCATCAGGTACGTATTGGGGCATGTGCAACTCGTACAACTTATCCCATATTCGTACATCGACATCTTTCGTACTCACCCGCTTGGTGCTTTCGGGTGGGGTTGCGGAAATAAACGAATTATCCGATCGCCAAGTGAATATCGTGGCCATCATTTGTGCGTCTTGCTCTCGAATGGCCACATGTTCCTCCGGCGTTACTCCGTCTCGAATGTCGTGCAATGACACGGGTTTCGTTGCGATTTTGATTTCGAGCCCAGATTCGACGCACTCAGGGGGTTCCAAAGAATTGGTCTCTGCCCCTAAGCGTAGTAATCTTATCTCTTTTGCAAGTGTCAAGAGAGATCATGGGAGATTTGTGATGTCGCAAAAGTGTCTTTTGTCGTTGTATCGTGTGAGGAGAGGGGAGATACCTTCGTAAAGGGTTCGAGGGGGTTCCAAAGAATCGATCATCCTCGAAATCTGTACGAGTGGTTCCCCATAATCATTGCTTGCGTTCTTTGCAGATTTTGGTCAGTCCAGCTCACTGAATTCCCCTTCGCTCGCCGCACAGGGTAATGGATAAGTTGTCATACCATCTCCAGGATCAATGGATCCTCTTCGTCGGTGCTGTATGCGTCCTTCGGAGATTGCTCACCGTCAGCAGAGGTATTCCAAGTAATCATGCGAAGAGTTCCCGCCATCATGAGAGAAACTCGCAGGGTTACGTTAGCGGTAGTACGGAGAGTCAGTCTCATAGGCACAACATAAGGTTTTCCACCTGTATTCCGGAGGACGATCGATCGCCTCTTGAAATCCAGATTGGCTCGCAAGGCCACCAGGGCGGGAAGGCCAAAAAAGACGTCGTAAGTATTTACGTCTAAAACTACGACATCTTCCAAAGCATGTACCTTCCCTAATCGAATAGCAACGTTGGTCATCCGTCCCACTGTTTTAATCTTCTCTTCATCCGCTGAAACGAGCTGGTATTTTTCCGTAAGCATGATTAGAACACTCTTTCTTTCTGCCCTTTCAACTACCCTTAATGAGATAGCTAAAACAGCGGCTCCAGAATCGATGATGGCATTGTACGGAATTCCCCATATCTCGATATCGCATTCCGCCGATTTCCACGGGATTGGTTTAATCCTTAGGAAATTGTCATCTTTGTGGATTAATCCTAGCTGTATCGGATCCGAAGTATCAGCAACGTTTTCACCTTGAGCGGGACTTTTTGTTTTCGTGTTAGCTGTTCGTGCGAGGGCGAACTGTTTCCGATTCCTCTTGCAATGTTGCAACATGCGTTCGTTGGCTTGTTCTGATATCAAGTGTAGATGACCGATCGGAAAAGGAATCCGATGGTCCAAAGCTCGAACGATGTTGAGAACATCGATTTCTCCGGTGACGAAGGTGGGTCCTCCCGACTCCATTTCCCCTGGAGAAGGTCGCCACTTCGCCACTTCTCTTTGTTCTGGCGCTGGTCTAATGTTTCCAATCATCCCAAGCCCTGGATATCCGAGTGTTACGTACTGGTCCAAGGGAATAAGCTCGGCGGCTTCCTCCATTGTAGCTAGCGTGTTTCCACCCCCCTCTCTTTCTTCCATCAGCGCCCCGACTCGCCCTCGTCCATTAGCGATTGGGGCGGCTGCTACAGGTGCAACCCCGATTCATGGTTGCGGGGGTCGGTGAGGGCAATCCCGGCCTATGTGTCCTGGTTGATGACACATGTAATAGACATTCAAGTTGCCAGGGACACCTGCAGGAGGCGGTGCCGGAACCAATCCGTGCTGAAGCGGGGCGGCACGACCTCATCATTGCCTCTATTCGAGCGTTATGTTCCCACTGTTCCTTTTTGCTCTCCTGATTTAAGGTGACCAGTGTCTTAGTTAGTTCTAATAACGCGGAAGAGTCATTCGGTCGTGGGGGACTTTCAATCGGAGGCGGGGTGCTGTCATTATGGGAACGGGAACGCTTGTAATCGCACTCGACGCTGGTCGTTTGGGACTAATCTGTTCTAGACAGGTGACAAGGACCGACACAAACACCATGTTTTCAAATTTGTTCTGTAGCGCAACCAACTCAGCTTTAGCTCTCTGTAGTTCAGACGAGTCTCCTTCCCTGGGATAGTCCTCCCCTTCTAGGAAACTCACGGCGAACTTTCGTTCCATTTCCTTTGCGGCGGCCATGATCTGTTGCAGCGTGTGATTGATGGGGGAGAACTGTTTTCACAGTCTCGCCCTCATCGTTCGGCTATGAAGTCCGCCGATAAACAAATCTCTGCCTACTTGCTCGCCTCGTTCCGTTTTCACAAACATCCTATAGAATCGGTTTCGGTACTCTGTGACAGACTCGAGAGGTTTCTGAACTCCGTCTTTAATCATAAAAAGAGCCTGTTCGGGGTGGATGTAATCGAATCGATTCAAGAAATCTCGCTCGAATGTCGGGAGATCGACCCATACATAGGTGTTAAACCAGTGATGGGGGCATCTCCTCCCAATCGTGCGGGGATATTCACCTGCGCCTCGTTGTCATCATACTGCTGAGCTCGGAGCGTGGCCAACCATGCTCCAGCGAGATGATGTGCAGGGTCGAATAGATAAAGATCAGGTGGGCTAAGGTGGCGTCATGGGAGCTCGTGCTCGTGGCGGAGGTTGATTTGGATTTACTTGTTGATTGGGGTTCTGTTGAGGATTTGGGTTCTGCTGGTTAGCGTTCATGTTGACCGCCCGTCGATTCGCTGATCGACTTCTAGTAATGACGGGGTCGCATCTATGCGCATTTCGGGGTCCAGGTCGCCTTCCGTTAGCCAGATCGCTCAACTACCGTGCCATAAGTCCAATAACACTGCCACGTGTCGGGCTCCGATACCAACCTCTCGCCCGACGCGACTTCCAGATCGGAGTGGGATGTGGGCCTGGAAGTGTGAAAAGGGGTGTGCCAAGGATTTTTGGGAAAGTGGGGGGGGGGGGGGGGAGTCCCAGGTCAGAACTGAGATCTCCTGTGGCAAGAGTTCAGGGGCATAGGTGCAATAGGATCTCCTGTGGCAAGAGTTCAGGGGCATAGGTGCAATAGGGCTACGGGGGGGGTTGCTTCAGGTCCGATGGCGGGGGACGTCGTGCAATCGTAAGGCCGATGGCATGCGTGGTGCATCAAGGCCGCCCGATCCGTCTGTATTGGTGAAGGGAGGGAAGTTGGTAGTGATAACGACGAAGCCGAGGGATATGAAATATTGCGTGTTATCCGTAGTGGGAAAATCGGGGCACCTCGGGGCACTGGTTACGGCGCAGTGAAACTCCCTGGGGCACAATCAATTCTCGGTTAGGCAGGGGAATTCCGGGTATCTTTGCCTAATACATTCTCTCACCCAAGGGTCGAAGTATTCCGAGTCCCAGGAGCTCGGCATCTTCTCATCGCGGGGTAGCGAAATTCTTCCGCACGCATCTAACCGGCGAGGGGATTTTCCCGATGTGATATCGGAAGTTCCTATCCATTTAGATACGTGGGGGAAGGAGAAGAAAAATTCCCACCTACCCGATACCGGAGGTGTCCAATGGTCGCGTATCCGCGCGCGTGGATGCGTGTAGGCTGCGCAAATCCGATCGCGCTTACACGTATCCCCACGCCATATTCGCTAGTTTCTAAAAAAAAATGAGAGCCTAATTCCTTATGCAAAATCACCATGTGTCATAAACAACTACCCAATCATCTAATCACTCTGTGCTTCCGCAAGCGATCATCCCCGAGTATGCAAGTCGTTGTAACACATCACTCACCGCAACAACATCAGAGCCTATATCGTGACGTCAGCAGATCAAGCATCAAGCAATGATGATGACTAGACAAAAACGATAAACATGAAAAGGGCGGAATCCTAACTGTATAGGCACATTCCATCATTTGGCAAATCCCTGATCTACAGCCATTCCACACTCATGCAAGTGACGCGTACATCAAATCTGCAACTCCCCCTTGTTGTTATACATCACAAGCAAAAACGAGAAGGAAAGCGACAAGCGTATCATCCATTCGAATCTCTTCATTCGACGGGACACAGACAAGATTAAGATCAACCAAAAACAGATGCAGAGAAAGTTGAAACAAAGATTCCGCAAGCAAAAATGGGCGAATCGCCTGAAGCCGAGATCAAAACTTATATACAAAGATGAGAAAGGAATGACAAAGAAAGTTCAAATCCGCGTCCCTCCACCTCGACTCTCTCTTCCTCTCTCTCTCTCTCTTCGATGCGGACGGTCTGTCGTCACGCACCAACCCACGAAGTCGTCACCCCGCTTCGTCTTCCCGCACCCGTCCGGTTCGCCCACGCCCACAGTCCGTCGTGGCCCGCGTCAACCCCGCGTGTTTGGCACCAGCTCATCGGGTTGCCCGACTCCCACTTCAACTCACCTCTTACTTCGCTCGCGAGCCGACCCTCACTGATCGCGCTCCCCGAGCTTCCAGCAACTGGTTAAGAGAGCTATCTTATCGCGCAGCTGGAATTTATATCGTGCATGCATGTGCGAAGAACACGGAATTGCAAGGACTTTAAAGGGGAGATTAGGAGAGGGAGCGCCTACGTTCTGCAAGGCCAGACAACGGCGTGGGGGACGTAGCCACTCTCCACGCAATCGATCCGAGCATGCTGGCCGCGGGCTTACTAGGCACAGCAAAAGGGAAAGAGAGAGCGGGAAAGACGAAGCTCAAGAAGGAAGATACAGTTACAATGGCGCCCGCCCAAAAATTACAGTTACTTGCAGGATTAGAGGCGCCGACTAATCAGAGCTCCGTTGCAGCCGCAAAAAGAAGCGCGCAAGAAAGACAACGCGCGGCAAAAGAAATCCTAAATTCCTAAACTCCTGGCTAATGCAAAAAGAAAAATGCAAATTCCGAAAAGAAAGTCCGAAATTCCGAGAGCCACCAAGGCTCGACAAGATTCAAAAAGAAAAAAAAAAGAAAATTCAAAAAGAACGAAGCAAAATTCCCGCGCGATCTCCGCGCCCAAAATCCGACAACGGAACAGGAAAGAAGCGACGTCAACCATTATTAATCGTGCCTTGTCGGAGCAACAGCTACTCAATCGGCCATCTCGGGACTTGCCCGGCCCTGAACCCAGCCATCCGAAAAGAAGCGACGCAAAAAGGCGAAAAAGCGAGGACTCTGATGCAATTTTCCCTTAATCCCGATCTCCGGTAATTGGCCCATCCTTCCCATCTTAGGACCCCTCGTTGTCATCGCGCAGAAAATCGCGCAGAACAGAAAGTGGTTCGTCTCAGGCATACCTCACCCCTAAAAACGGGTCCCAAAACTGTGGCCACGACTCTGTCACCTGTTTCCCACTGTAGGAAGAGAGCTTCTCAACCAGGAGGATGTTGTCATTTTCCCTTGATCCGAGATTGTTGCTAGGAATTTATTTTCGCGCATGGTTTACTAAACCAAACAAGATTGTGTTTTTTCCAATCAGCTATGATGACCTGACGAATTTCCTTTTTAGTGTATCTGACAGTCTGTGGAAAACCAACTCCGTCTTTTCGGAAAACTTTCGCATTCCTCATTGCACAGAGGGCTTCCATTATTATACCTCTACAGATCAGGGCCTGTTCCAAACTCCTGAAACGAAGCTAGTTTCTTGCGGGGAGGTTTTATGACTTTCCCAAAAAGGATCAACGGGAAAGGGAGGTTACTTATCTCAAATCACTCATGAGACAGGGGCTAGATTAGCGTCCGCATCTACCAAGCCGCTTTCCGGAATTTGATTGGAACCCTCAGCGACACATATATTAAAAAAAAAAGAATAAGAAGAACATACATACACAAATACATCGACCACAGTGACCTAGATCCCTCAGAAATGGAAGAGATTCAAACACAGATGTAATGGACTCGAGCAGTCCTTTCACAATTACTGTCAAACAGAAGCCAAACATATCTTCACCCTCCAATAGAACGCACTCTGGAAGATTGTATTCCGCTTAACGCGCTCACGAGGGACTGACAGACAGACAGACAGACAGGGGGTGGGGCTGGGAACAGGCCTGCGAGTGAGGACAACGGAGCGAGATAGGCTTGACAGTCAGATATCCTCAATTCATGAACCTTCCCGATTGGTTCCATCAAGGGTAGGATATTAGGGCGGACTACCGTCTTCACCTGAATAGAACGCCCGGTGATTATAGCTGTATTTGGTGGAGCTTTCAGTCTAGATGCAGTAGTGTTGACCGGGCGTTCTATTCGGGTAAAGATGGTGGCCTACAAAAGCTCTGTCCGCCCTCCACTATGTGGAATCTAGTCTATGTTTGGACTATGCACGGCATATGTGGAATCTAGTCTATGTTTGGACTATGCACGGCAGCACGGGGCCCTGGCATCCGATCTGAAATCTCAGAGCCGCACTGTTGCCTGGTTGAAAACTACTCCAAAAAGGGGAATGATTAGCTGGCCATCTTTACGATTCAGTTAAATTCTATATGGCAGCAGCCCTCACAGAAGACAGCCAGTCTGCTCTGGCTTCAGACCTTCTCAGCATCATCATCGGCAGTGAATTTGGTCCAAAGGGGAATGAATATCTCACAGACATGTGTAGGCTGCAAATGGATCTGGGAAAACAACCGCCATCCATGGT